CTTTGGTGTAACAAGCCGAAAATGGTGGTAAGTCGTTGATCAACGAATATCACGAATGGCAAGAAAAGTTTGGGAGTAGCCACGCCACAGCCTGCGGCCATGCCATCTGAAAAGTGTGCCTTATGGCTGCAATTCGACCATGCTGGAATGATACCTGAAACTTAGCTAAAAGTGCAATCCTCAAATAAAAACTGTCATAATGACGGTAAAAATGCTACTTATTATATGAGTCAGGAGTGAAGTATCGACTGCGGAACTTTCGAAGTAGCTGTTTCCCCGTCATCTTTGTCCATAATTAACATCTCCAGTAACAGCACCATTCAGCCATAATTAAGTAGGAGAATCACCCCATCTTTGAGTGAATTTGAAAACCAGTCCAATATTTGTGCTGAGAAAAGTGTCTTTGCAATCCACCTGTACCTGCCCATGTCGGTATGAAAAGCGCAGTTGTACGGCATGAAGACAGTTGTTCTACGGAAGGAACAAAAAAGATGGTTGAACAGCGTACAACAGCGTCAGCCTCGAGGCAAAATGAGGGTTAAATAACAAGACCACGTTAGGAACGACTCTATTCTTACTGGGGCACAGGTGACTTCAGTTAATATGCAGATTAAGAAAAGGAGGTTGGCCCTGCTGGACAGCCTGTTGAGAATACATTAATACACTATCTACTCCAAACCACGAGGTTCAGGCGTAGGAGCTACAATACTTGGCAGACGTCGGCCATGAGGTTAGGGAGCAAGACAGAGGAACAACGGCAGAGGTAGATCCGCATTCGGAGAAGAATATTTTCTTCTGCGATGCAGTAACCAGTGTCTTATAGCAAAAGTGTTTAAAAGCTGTGGATTCAGCGGACATCACAAACCAGAGACGTTGTGCTTATGCAAACGACTCTAGGTGATTACTTCCACAAAAACAGTAACACACAATTAATTAGAATATCCAGATTGAATCAGTTATATTTTCTGTCGTCAATGATTGTCTGTTACAACAATCGATTGGATTTTACTCTTACTGCAGATCAGTTCAAGCCCGAAAAAACCTGACTCGAAGCATGATAATTCTAGAAGGAACTGGCGAGCGCTCCGTGCCTCCTGAAATTCATGACGTTGTCTGCATATCTCAAAAATGTACAAACGAGATGCTAATTATTTTTCACGTCATGGAGCTGATGTACTAGCAAATATTTTATGGTACTTAACACAACTTCAATGCCTCAGAGGTCAGTGCAACGAAATGACGGTGTTCGCAGACAACTGGCTAAGGCTTCGGTGAATTAATGATTGTCGTTACGCATCAGAGAAAATTACGACCTCTTAATTATGTCGTAAGGAAACATCTAGTAAAGCCATTGTCGAAGTATGGCACTGTAAAGTTTTATTTGTGGCACCAGATCGAAGGGGATGCACAAATGAAGCTGAATAAACGACACCACAAAATGGACGGGGCGGAATGTCAATGACGTCAACAGAATTGCCAACGACCAGGAGCGGTAACCGAAGATGTTCACACAATTTTCTAACTCCTGAACATTACAAAATTGGATCCTCTCATATTCAGCATGCACGGAAGTCAGAGGAAGACTATGAGTTCCGGGCTAAGCAGGAAAACCACTAAGCATCCATGCCCTGCTCCCTTCACATCATCGTCTAACGCCACATGCGCAAATGCTGAGCGAGGCACGACCATCTGATCCACTCTCAACTGGTGTGTCCTATGTTAAATATAGTCGCTATTTTGACTTAAAAATTAAACCTGTCGCTCATTCCGACCTAACTTTGAATACAGAAGAGCTGAGTTGCGCCAAAGATCCGAACAGCGGCCGGCTACTTCGAAATGCCGTTTTCTTAAGGAAAGAGGGAGTATGGACTCCGGCTCGGCATTTAAACGAACAGACGCAGTAAAAAGCCCTATAGATGTGAACGTGTCAGATCAACGGAATGTCACCGAGAGTGCGCGCACGCGCGATTCATCTATCAGTCATTGCAGTTCTATTTTATTGCATTAGAACGACAGCAGTGAAACGACCGTCGAAAAAGTTGTTCATCGCCGTGTAACGTTTTCGACAACAAGTGCGGTACAGTCAGAAATATCGTCGCCTGCCTGATGCAGTAATGAAGTTGGCGGGTAGCGCACCGCTGCAGAATAAAACGGAAGTTTCATTCAAGACACAACAAAACCTGAGATACCACGGATCATCCATACGGCGTGGGGGGCACAGTGGCTAAGACGTCGGGTTTGAACTCCGAAGATGTCGAGCTCGATTTTGCCGGAGGAGGAACCTTTAGCAACAGCGAATTCCATTGACTAACGAATCATCCAAACGTTTCTTCGAACGTGTTGGCCCAGTATCTAAGACGTGTGCTTCGAACTTCAGAGGTGCCGCTTTCGACTCCCTCGAGGATAATCTTTGTCTTATTCACAAGTCCCACTGAGCAAGGAATTCACCACAAATTATTTCAGATCGAGGTTGCTCAGTCGAAAGAACGTCGGACTCAAAACCGATAGCCTCGGTCGGGGTCATCCGCTTTTCTTTATTCCGAGATTGTTAAATGAGTACCGTTGTGTGGAGACTGCACGCTACACATTATATACAGTCTGTAGTGCTGTGCTTCTTCTCCC